TGCATTATCTGAAAAGCCCAGCGCAGTGCCTTGCATACACTGAGCGCTCAATAAATATCACAGTTGGGTTGAAGAAAATTGCTGAATCACTGTCTTGTCTGTTTGACTTCATTTCACATTAGATTCAACCAGGAAATTATTAAATTATTCTGACTTCACATGCAATGACATCTACAGAGTGATGACTTTTTCTGTCTTTTCTAAAAAATTAAGATGGGGCTTCCCTGGTGGCGCAGTGGTTGAGAATCTGCCTGCCAATGCAGGGGACACGGGTTCGAGCCCTGGTCTGGGAAGATCCCACATGCCACGGAGCAACTGGGCCCGTGAGCCACAACTACTGAGCCTGCGCGTCTGAAGCCTGTGCTCCGCAACAAGAGAGGCCGCGACAGTGAGAGGCCCACGCACCGCGATGAAGAGTGTACCCCGCTCACCGCAACTAGAGAACGCCCTCGCACAGAAACGAAGACCCAACGCAGCCAAAAATAAATAAATAAATAAAAATTTAAAGTGACATGTCATTTTAAAAAAATAAATTAAAAATTAAGATGGACTCTAATATTTACATTTATGTTTCTACGTCTATTACATATGCAAAAAAAATTTGTCTGAACGAGTATCACACTAGTGTTCTAGGTTACTGGTATGAATATTCCAAAATGATACAGTAGAAGCCATTCAAGACTTTAAGCATATGATCTCACACTACGGGATATATTTCACCCATTTCTCAGAAGAGTAAATTTTCAAGAAAGATCAAATTTTTGTTACCTTTGCTGACCCAGAAGTAAAATTTCAGGGTGACAGTTTATCTTTGCCTCTGTCTGGCTACTCTCTACCCCCCCACACCCCACTTCAGCAGCCCGGTTCCCGGGTACTTCCCCATCAGAATGGCCCTCTGGGGGCACCAACTGGACAGCAACCCATTTCAAACTTCTTTCACTTCCTCTGCATCATCCTGTGTTCCAGCCCTCAGGGCTTTACTGCCAGCTGATCTGATAAACCAATCCAAGTTAGTAAAGGAACAGACGCGAATGGTTTGTGAGAAGGAATGGTAGCTCTTTCCTAGGTAATCTTGTTGCATTCTATTAGGGATCTACTAGATAGAATTATTTTATTCAAATGAATGTCTCTAATAGTGAAAATTTCTGATCCTACATTGGCCGGAGGAGAAATGCTTTGAATCCAGGGATGTTTTGGGCTTCTCAAATCACTTTCTTGACAGCTGCCTATAACATACTTGCCCCTGATCACAAACACACTTCCATCACTTCAGCTGCTTTCCATCACTTCAGGACTTTTCTCCTTCCCTACATTCTCCTCCTCCTCCTGAAATTGGCTAGAAAGTTTCAGGTAGAGAGAAAATGGGATTCTCGTGAACCTTGGTCTATCCTGTTACTTACTATACACTCTTGGCTGTGCCGATCAAAGGACAATCACAAATGTAGACATAAAACACTTAGGGTTCAAAACATAGTTGACAACAAAGAGAGCCTACAACAAACACTTGAGGCCTCATGGGCTGCGAGCAACTGTCTTCCAAGTTGAGTCAACACACCAGAAAATGATGCCTAGTCTCATCTGTATTCTCAACTGCTTGTGAGGAAATCATGCCAGTAAGAGTAGTTTACCCTAGGAGTCTCCAGTTCAGAAAATGAGCTGCTTGATTTATAAACCCTATTGAGAACCTAATCATTGATTAGTTGTTTTCAAAATATGTGTTGTATAATATATCTTTTGTGAAGTGTGTGTGTGTGTGCGTGTGCGCACGTGCGTACGCATGTGCCCTTTGGCCTGCATGGGCCTGTGTGTATGTGTGTGTGTGTGTGTGTGTGCGTGTGAGAGGCTGAGGAGGGAGAGAGGGAGGCAGGAAGAGAGAGAAAAAGAGAGAGGACAGATGCAGACACATTCACACACAGGTATCTTTTGGAAGAGAAAAAAAGAAAACTGAAAATAATCCCACTGCACTTAATGAGGCCCCACTGGACCAGCCCTGAGTCTAAATCAGAGTCTCAGAGGCAAGACTCTGAAAGCTCACTTTCCCAGAACCCAGTCCATCTCAGTGGGTCAGACAGCACCTGACGTTTACTTCCACTAAATCTCAAGGACATCTCCAGGGGATAGACCTCCCTTTGTTCAGAGAGAAAATTGGAAGCAGCCAGTTCAGCAACCTACTGCCTTCGTTAGCATCAATTACCACTGAAAATTAGAACCTAAGTGATAGGCAGCTGAGGGAACGGATTCTGAAATCTAGGGAAACAGGGAGAACATTTGCCACAAGAGGGAGCAGAAGAATTGGATCAGATGGGAGACGGTTTGGTAGAGGTTATGACGAGAGGTCTGACCATGAGGTATGGATGATACTGGAAGACGTTTTGACGAGACATTTATCCCTTAGAGGAAAAAAAAAAAAAAAAAGAGGATGGAAGGATCTGGAAGAAGTGAGATCTCAGCACCCTGATTCCTAAGTAGTTAGCAAACGTAAAGCAACAATTTAATTTTTAGAGAAAAGCAACATACAGCAAAAATATCAAGCATGCAAGATATGTGCTCTACCATCCTCTTTTAATTGTGTATTTCTTTCTCCAGATTTAATTTCTATTTCAATTTAGATCTTGTTTATTTCCACGCTGATGGGGCAGACTGCTTGCTTCTTACCTACATGCTTTTCTTCCTCTACCTGAAGTCATCACGGAGAAAGGGCCTCTGTTACTGAATTGCAACATGAAAATCAGATGGTACAGTCCTAAAATGCACTTACTCTGAGAAAAACCCATCCATGAGCTAAATGTATGCTTTGTACTTGCTTTAAAGGGGGAATGCAACTTCGTTGGATCTACAGAGCTTTTCTCACCATTTATTTTGTCAAAGAAACAGATTAAGTACTTACAAGGAAGGAACTATGCGTTTACTTTGCAAGATAAATAAAAGTCTATTTTTATCTGATAAAAAAATCTTAAATATAGCTTGCTAACAAAATGCTGAAGCTCTCCTGGAATATTTTATTTTTAACACATAGTAAGTTTGAAAGAGCAATTAATGTAATTCCTGCAAATAGTCCTGTAGGTGTTACTGACTATACTTCACCTTCTTTTTGCAATTTCACCTTCCTTTTGTAATTTCATTTGGAGTTAAAGTACTGCTAGGGCTATGCATTTTTCTTCCCTTTCATGGTCAACAAAAGGGTTATCTAGTACTTAATCTTAATCCAAAATGATACAGTAGAAACCATTAAATAGTAATGATAAAGTAAATAGGTAGATAGCAGGTAGGTAGGTAGACAAGTACACAGATAGAAAGCACAGCCTTCATATTCTTTTAATTTGTTACACTCCTCTTCCAGCCCTGCTAAGCTTTTAAGACAGAGTAAAGGAAGTCTGATTGTCATGGACACTTACATTCTTTGCTGTCCCTTCACAGCTCAGTAGTGAACAACAGTTTACCTCTGTCCAGTTTTTTTCTTTTTCCCTGGGAATTTATCATGCCATATGTAATAAAAGAGCCAGTTTAGGAGGGAAAAATTAAGGCTCCTTTTTTAGTAGGTGGGAGAAATCATAGCTAAAGAGCCCTCAGATCCAAATGGAATCCTTCAAGCAGGCAGAGTCCCTAAAATGAAAACCATTTAAGAAAACACATACTGCTTCTGATGAAATAAGTGGATCTTTCCCCACCTTCTCACTCTCAAGGCCCCAAAGATGGAGCGAGCTAGCTCTCTCTTCCTTCCTCCTTTTTTTCACGCGAGACTAACCTCACAATTAAGCAAGTTTAGCAAACCCATAGAGGTAAATTCAAGCAACACAGGATTTGAAAGAGGAGCTTCAAAGCAATCATTCCTATTCCGGCTTTGTTTTCTTTTCTGAAATGAATGAAACATCTAAATACATTTTCCTCCCTCTTTTCCTGACTTGCACAAGTAGCTCTGAGAAAGAGAAAACGTGCGAGTGAGTGAGTGAGTGTGTGTGTGTGTGTATGTTGGGGAGTGTGGGTGGGAGGTATGCTTTCAGAATCCCCTCCTGGTTGCACCCCATTTCCCTTAGGAAATCTTCACACAGATGCTAGGCTGTGGATGTTCAGTTGCTCCTATTTGGAGAGACCCAAGCTATGCCTTTAACCAGATCTGATCAGACTCTCCACCTACTCTACTAGCTCCTCCATGATAGGGATGCCTGTACCGTCTTTACATCCGTCATTTTTTAAAAAGCTTCTTCCACTTCACCTCCTACTGATATCCTTTTTTTTTTTTTTTCTTTTTTTAGTCTTTACACCTCCAGCAGGACAAAGTTTGTATTGTTATATTCACAACCACTAGTGGCTGACTAGCAGTAGACAGCGCCAGCAAGGGAGCCAGGCAAAGAGGGGTTAAACAAATACCTAGTGCAAAGCAGGACTTTCTTTCCAGCGACTGCGGACACCAAGCACATTGCTTTTTTTACAAAATTCTTTGTTAAATTTGATCACTCTGCTCCCAACCCAACTATTGCCACTTTGTCTGGAGAGGGAAATACGAATTGCCGGCCCAAGCCATTCATCAGTCAACACAATCCATAAGGGAAGGGGGAATTGAAAAACCACGGAGGCACACATACTATATTTTTAAAAGCATCGCCTGGGTGGATTTGGTTTCTGTAGCCTACCGTCCACCCATAAGACCTCCCTCTTCTTCATTAAGGAGGATCCAAGAAGGATATCCTCACGTCTCAGAACACAGACCATTTCCCCAAGAGCCAGCGAAGCTCCGGAGGCAGACAATGCAGCGGCAAAGTTCCCTTCGAATGTCCTGGGGAAAGATGCCTCTGCGCGCAGGATCCCCAACGCACCCTCGGGCTGGGTGCCCAGAGACTGGGACCCTGCAGCCCACTCCCCCGCCGCTTCTCTCCCTTGCCTGTCCCCCCGCCCCGGCCACACCTCCCTCCTCTCCGCAGTCGATGCTGAAGGAGCACCCAGGGCTGGCCGGAAAAGAGGAGACTCGCGAGTGTGGCCTTGGGGAAGACCCCAGGGATTACCGGGAGGAGGGGTGACCGCGAAGCAGAGCCCAGTGGGTGGGGACGCCTGGATCCCCAGCAGCGTTGCATTCCGGGTGGACTTCGCTCTTCGCGCCCTGAATCCTTAAGCCCAGCGCGGTGCAGGGTGCAGCATCTCTCCTCAGCAGCCCTTTCTTGCTCCGGCAGCCGGCACTGGCAGGCGGGCACCCTCAACGCCCAGACGCACCAGCCAGAGCAATTTCACTCCCCGAGAAGCGCGGACACCCCCAGAAAATGGGTGGGGACACACACAGACACACGCAATTTAGGAGCTGGTCCTTTGCCAAAGCGGAGGGAAGTGTAGCCTTCTGAACAAATGGAAAACAGTTGGCGGTATCTGACCAAATCCTTTCTGCTGCCCTTCCGAAGATCCTACCTGGTTTGGGGGAGTGCGGCTGGATCCTTCCCCCGTTCCTCCACGTTAGTAGGAAAGACGGCGCACTCCCTCCCTTTAAATAGCTCCCGAGCTGGGAAAGGTCGCTCCCATCTTCGGGGGGAAGCACAAAGCGGGCGGCGGCGGGCAAGCTCCCGTGCAGCGCCGGCGCGAGCAGGAGCGTCGGCGGCGGCAGGCAGCCGGTGCGCGCGGGCGGGAGGCAGCGCGGAGGCCGGGAGGCTGGGAGGGCCGGGGCCCGGGCGGCGCGCGCGCTCCGCTCCCCTCCCTCCCTTCCTCCCGCGCACACTCGCCCGCCAGCCCGCCGCCCGCAGCCTCGCACTCGCTCTCACGCGCGCTCCGCCCCGCCGCCGCCGGCGCCCCGGCCCCCCGCGCGCCCCCACACTGGCGGCCTCGGCCACCGCGGGCGAGAGGAGCCGGCGCGTTTCTGGAGCTCCGGGCGGGCGGGCAGCAATTCCAGCCTCCCAGCCTCGGCCGCGGAGAAGGTTTTTCGACGTCCTCCCGGCTCTCGGCCCCGCAGTGCGTCCCGGCCGCACGCTAGCGCTTTCCCCGGCGCCCAGCCCATAGAGTACACGCGCAGACCGACGCTGCAACTTTTCTTTGCCACCTTCCTCCCCTCACCCACAGACAGAACCGCCACCCCGGCTCGCCCACCCGTTTCTCACCTCTGAAATTGTTCAGCCAGATATATCTTTCTTCCTCCACTTTCTATCCCCCCGCTAAAGGAAGCTTTCCTTTAGCAGAGGGATCCGGGGATGTATCAATGATTTTCTCTGAAATCCTCACTCCGTGTTTTTCCTACTTACCAGACCTGCACAGCAATACGCTGGCTAGGAGCTGCTGACACAAGCACATAAGGATTGCGGGGGGGGGGGGGTTGTTAATTCCCCAGCCAAGAACTCCAAAAGATTCTCCCTTTTGGTATTTCCCTCAAAGATTGCAGCTCACTTGGGAATAAAGACCAAGAGGCTGCTTAATGTGAAAGCCCTGCAGCTTCTAAAACTACAGAGAAGAGTAAAAGCTGAGCATTAAGGTTAAGTTGGGAAAGATCTAATGCAGCAATCGACGAACCATTCATTGCCCTTTCCAAGAGAAGCATTATCATTGCCAATACATCACTTCGCCATAATTAATAAAGGAGCATTGCATCAGGCCCTTGTTCTCTTGACAGCTCATTCATCCTTACAAATCCTTAATGACTTGGCAGGATGAAAGGCTAGACCCGCTGTGGAGTTCACATCAGACACACCTGGGAAGCTAGTTAAAAATGCGGATTGTAGCGTCCTATCTTGAGACTCTGATGCAGCTCTCAAGGTGGACTCCAAGTTTGTATTTTTAAAGCACGGGTTGATGTTCGCCCCTGGTGTGGTTTGCTAAAGTGTGGGGCATCAGGGGCAGCTATGTGGAGGGTGAGAGTGGGAGGGAGACCAAAGTACTAGACAGAAAGTTAAGTTTCTTAATAGAGTTTTCCCCCGTACTTACAGCACAGATCTGGGCAGCCAGGCCACAGGAAAAGAGAGATTCGGACTCCAGGAATCCCACTGTTTGACTATGAGGCAAAGAGCAGGGGGATGGGAAAAGTAGCCCTCCTCTGCCTCTTTGCCAGTGGCTCTCAACCTCTGACTGCACCTCAGAATCTTCTGGGGAGCTTTTAAAAATCCCAGCGCTTAGGCCACACCCCAGACAGAGTAGCTTGGAATCTCTGGGGGTGGGACCTGGGCATCAGTAATTATTTTTAAGTTTCCCTGGTTGGTGCCTATGTGTAACCAAAGCTGAGAACCATGTTCTTGGCCAATGCTCCTCAAACATGAATGCATATATGAATCACCTGGAGATTGCAGTTTCTGAAACAGGCCTGTTATCTGCATTTCTAGCAAACTCACAAGTGATGGTGATGCTTTCTGAATGAGAACTGCTCTTTAATGAGCAGGGGCTTGGTACATCATCCTAGTGGTTGTGGACACAGCTTGACGGAGGAAACTCTGAGCTGCTTCTTGTCTTGTATATTCCCAGGAATCATTCTTCCCTAAGAATATTTTCCTTTCCTCTGCGATGAATTAAACTTTCTTGGAAGCCACTCTCCATGCAAACTTTTTGTTAGACTGCACTGACTAATGGGTGTAACAGAATCACATGAGGGGAGACGCAGGTCACCACCTCTCTGTTAGCATATGTCCTCAGCCAAAAATTACATAGGGTCCTGACTTCAAGAGAGTGTGAGGGGCAGACATTTGGCTTACACTCAAGGAAAGGGGCTTGGAGAGACAAGTGGCTGCTTTGTAAATGACATTGAGAAAAGCATATAACTAAAGACTCCACCCGTAGGAAATAGGACAAAGCTAACTGAAGGGATTGAATGGAAGAGCTAAATGAAAATGTGAGTGGACTACATCTCATTGGAACGGATGTTGTAGAAAGGGTGAGGCCTGTTATTGTTATTACGGACCACTTTAGTGAAAGCACAGATTTTCTTGAAAGTGTAAGCATGCTTGTGACATGGAGTGATAAAAGCCCTGTTCTTAAATGTCTCTATTCCAGTGGTGCCCCAAATCCATCTTGTCGGCAGCAGAGAAGGCATTAAGATGACATCTTGGTTTCCTTTATTCCTCTTTCTTTCCAATTTAGACTGATATTTAGGTTAATTTGGATATTTGAGGAAAACAAACTACATGAAGTAGTTTTCTCTATTACCTAGAACCATTAAAAGGTAGGCTAGTACCTAGTGATTTGGCACCATTTTTTATTTGGCTCAATTTCTGACCCCCTAATTTTTTTTTCCTTTCATTTCTCATTAAAGGCATTTTTATAAGGGTTCCAGGGCCCCGAGGGAAATCAAACCCTTTGCTCCCTCCTAAATGTCATACATGACTGGATTCTTATTACAAGAATTATCAAAGGCTACATCACTGGCACAAAGCTCTAGGTAAGGAAACAGGCTGCTACAGGCTCTGACTTCGGAAAGAAAAAATATTGTATGTAGGAAGGTGGTGATTTACATTCCAATGGCAACACTATTCCCTAATTCATTCTTGCATATTGATTGCCATTCTTTCCTTTGGACTTAAGAATCAGTTATGGGCCTCCACTGTTATCTAGCCAAAGCAGTTGGCATGACCATTTTGCAGACTCCACAGGGAAATCACTAAGAGTTGATATATTCTAAAGGTGCTTCAGATTTTCATGAACTATTTCCCTGGAAACCTTCAGGGGATCTTTTAGCAAACTCATTTTCAAACCAAATGAAAATATTGTGAATTAGGCCAGTCTACAGAAAAATTAGACATGTGATCGCGGGTACCCCAAATTTTACTTTTAATATTGTATTAAAACAGTCAACACTTTTCATCATGGGTAAAACAAGTACTTCGTTGTAATTCCTTTCACTTTTACAGTACTTTGAATTACTTAGGTCAGAGGTACCATCGTTGTTTTGTTTTGTTTCTTCACTTCTTGGAGCTCCTTCAGTGTGTTAATATAGCTCTAGTTTATTCCCACCTCATTTCCTACTCTGCCCATCTTCACCACTCACCTATCTGCTCCTTCATGGGTTCAGTCTGATACTGATTTCTACATAAGAAAAAAGCATTATAGCATCTGCAGCCTGGCCAGCAAGAGAGTGGAGCTTAGCATTAGCTATTTTCCCATACCCAGGAACCTCAGGGGAACCGCTGGACCAGGTTTTGTTTGCTGCTGATTGGATCCTGGGTTTGCTTCAAGCGTGACTGTGGGGATTCTTGGTGACTTCTAAGTGCTACCGTTCCTCCTCCCTGCGGTCTTGTTCCTGAAATTAAATTTTTGCTTCTCTGTTTTGTTTTGACCAGTTGAACCCCACGTAGTCAGTGGCCCTGCTGGTGGGTGGAATCAGCCTTCCCGGTAGACTCAAAGTTATAACCCACCCTTCCTCAGTGCTCCGTCACTGTAAAGTCACCCACTTCCTCTGAATTTGTCACAGTCTTTGGACACCAGAGGTCTTCACTTCTGCATTTGAGGAACTTATAGTCAACAGTTGGGCTTGTGCAAAATCCTGACACTTTCATTTTCCATTTCTTCCCCTTAGAACATTGAGGACATTAGTTTGTACCCCAAAACCTTATCAATGGTGAGGTTACCAGTCAGTAACTCAATGGCAGAATCATTATCTAGATCAACTGGTGGGTCAGAAAAGAACAGAGACTGGCTAAGAATTAAGGCTTTGGAGTCATACTGCCTGGGTTTGAATCTCACCTCTGGCTGTATGACCTTGGGAAGTTTTTTAACCTTTGTGTGTCACAATACCTTTGTCTGGAAAACCTAGATCACAAATCGCCTTCAAGAAATTATGAAAAGTATAAAATGTATATAATGTGCTTGACATAGTTCCTGATCATAGTAATTACTCAATGTTGTCGTTATTATTGGTAAATTTCCATAAAAATGATACCCATAAAGTAAAAAATATTCTATGTAATTGGGTTCAACATAATCAGGCCATGTCATCACTAATAATGATTATGCTAAGGTTTTTGTTATGCAGAATTCTATACAATGAGTAATCCAGGAAAGTGGATGCCCCTACAGTACGAGAGTACTTTCCCTCTCTGTAATGAAAGAAGTTGCTTGTGCACTTTCTGATTTTGTAAGTACAGAGTGCGGTTACGTGATCAATAAAGGGGGTACCGCATTCTTGCTGGATCACAGTATTTTTTTCCTATATGTTCCTCTTTTCCTATGATCCCCTCTCTATTATAATCTGAGGGTTTAATTTCCAATAGAGCCATTTTAAACAAATTCCACTCCGAGGAAGATTTTGTTTGTCACATTAGTTTTCTTAACAGGGGACCTTATCTAGAGGACAGAAACTTTTTTACTAAGTTTGCACAAACTCAACATTGATTCAAGGACTCCATCAATAGGGATTCAAGACGAAGTCCCTGGGGTCCTCTGTAC